TTATTCACAGGGAAATCGCAATAACCTTCCTAATGGACGAAAGAATAACGGGCATGCTAAGCCTCAGAGGTCACTTAGAATACCATTGAGAGGTGCCAGAAGGCTCTATCGTTCTGAAGACGACTGATTTGTGTTTCCTGAACCGATGACGAAAGCAGAATTCGAAAAGGTTCACAAACATAAACAAACTCATTATTCTAAGGTGTATCGCAATCTACCTGAAACCCATTTTCAAAGTCGATACAAGCAAGCCAAAACTTTTTCAAAAATCCCATACGATTATCGCATGTTTAATGGATACAAAGGACCAAGGATGAGTAACACCAACTCTAGGTTCGTCTGGATCTCGAAATTAATCGCTAACCCTCAAGGACACGAGAACGAAGGGGTACCTAAAACTACATAACTTTTTAGTTCAGGTACAAATAGAGCCGAAGTCTATTGAAGAAGCTGTAAGCGATCCAAATTGGGTCACAGCCATGAAAGAAGAACTCCATCAATTTGGAAAGAAATGAAGTATGGGAGTTGGTTCCAAGACCCACTCATCAGAATGTTATCGCAACCAAATAGGTTTGTAGAAACAAAATGAGCGAGGAAGGGGTTATTGTTAGGAACAAAGCTGGTTAGTTGCCAAAGGCTATTTCCAAGGGGACTGTATTGATTTTGATGAAACCTTCGCTCATGTTGCTAGACTGGAAGCTATATGCATCCTTCTAGCATATGCTGCTTTTAAGGAATTCAAAGTCTTTCAAATGGATGTTAAAAGCGCATTCTTAAATGGTTTATTAGAAGAAGAAGTGTATGTCGAACAACTACCTGGATTTCACTCAGATCTCAAACAGGATAAGGTGTACAGACTAAGGAAAGCTTTATATGGATTAAAGCAAGCTCCAAGAGCTTGGTATGACACACTTTCGTGTTTTCTCATCAAACGTGGCTTCACGAAAGGAGTAGTTGATAAAACTCTCTTTCGCATCAAGGATGAAAATCATATTCTGTTAATGCAAATATATGTGGATGATATTATCTCTGGAAGCACTAATTCTAATCTATGTGGAAAATTTTCCAAGCTTGTGCAAGCTAAGGAAAGTTTGAAATGAGTATGATGGGAGAGTTGAACTACTTTCTTGGTCTTCAGGTTAAGCAATGTTCTAGCGGAATTTTAATAAATCAAGCCAAGTATACTAAGGACTTGGTTAAGAAGTATGCAATTGATGGCAAGTCATCAGTAAAGATTCCCATGAATACTTCGTTAAGAATGGATATTGACAATGAAGGAAAAGAGGTTGATCAAACCAAATATAGAGGAATCATTGGATCACTATTATACCTCACGACAAACAGGCCAGATATATCTTTTGCCAATGGTGTGTGTGCTAGATTTCAATCTTGTCCCAAGGAAAGCCATCTAAGTGCAGCGAAGAAAATCTTAAGATACCTTAAGGGAACGCAAAGTGTTGGACTTTGGTACCTGAAAGGATGATCTTTAGACCTAGTTGGATATTCAGACGCTGATTTTGCTGGTTGTCGAATTGACCAAAAGAGTACCTCTGGGACGTGTCAGTTCTTAGGGGGAAGACTTGTGTCTTGGTTTAGCAAAAGGAAAAAGTCCATTGCCACAATTACTGCTGAAGCTAAATATATAGCAGCGGGGAGTTGTTGCGCTCAAATTCGATGGATGATACAACAATTGAAAGATTATGGTGTAATTGCACGAGATGTGTCCATAAAATGTGATAATACGAGTGCTATTGCCATTACTCACAATCCAGTGTTACATTCATGAACCAAGCGTATTGATATCAAATATCATTTTATTCGTGATCATGTTGAAAAGAAGAACATATCTCTTGAATATGTCAACACTGAGGATCAACTTGCAGATATACTCATGAAGCCACTCAGCAAAGGAATATTTTCATCTCTTCGTCACGAGTTGGGAATGATCAAAATGGCTTAGTCGAAAGGTCATGTCATCAAAGCCTTCTTTCGGCACGCCTACTGTAAATATTCCTGAAAGATTCCGAGAATCATGCATTGGACAGTGCGGAAGAACATCTTTCATCTTTCTCAACACGAAAGCAGAGATTCGGTTTCATACTATAAAAGGAGACATTACCATGAAGAAGAAACCACACTAACTCTCTTTTTAGTAATTCTTCGTGTAGTTTTATTTGCAGGAATGGATAACCGCAAAGGAAAAGGAAAGGTGGTCAAAACTTCTGATCTAGACGCCAAGAAGAAGTTCTATAGGCGAATGGCATGGAAGGAAATGCGAGAAAGGTTCGGTAATAAGTCCTTGCCAGGAGAAGGTTCGCAAAAGACAGTCATCATCTCATCAGATGATGAAGAAATTCCCTCTCCACCTCGTATGGCATCAAGTCTAGTGGAGGACTTCTCACATGTTCGACCTCTCCAAAGCCCCGGGTATAAACCTCGCGCTCCAACCCTGACCTCTAAAGAGCTTGAGGAATACAACGAGCTTTTTGACGAAAGCAAAAGGCTGCGGATTGAGAACAGTGATATCTTTGACTACTCTCCACCTGGCACACCATCAGGTCTTTCTACCCCTTTGAAGTCAACAGCCTCGAGCAAAAAGAAGAAGGAGGGATCTCATTATGCTCCTTTAAAATAAAAATTGTTGTACTTCTCTCGTTGTGATTCAATGAATGAACGGTGACTATGGTTTATCTGGTTCATTTACTTCTTATTAAGGAAGAATGACTCTTGCTCAAAAGCAACTAAGCACGAATCATTCAGAGATATCTGACCAAGTTATATTTACTTCATGACTATGGAAAGATTCTTGGATAATCATGATACTTTCAATGGTCAAATGAATTAATGACATTTGGTATATTCCAAGAACATTGATATATTCATTAATTCTAGAGTTACGAGAAATAATCAATGCGATGAAGAAATTTTTGGTCCTTGAAGTAATCATAACTGACCAAGGCATTGAATGGTCATTCAATGTTAGCAAAGCTCCACCACCCGTGATCTAAATCTCTGGCTATATAAGGAGCTATGGACTCTCAGTGTTTATCATTCATCAAGAATAAGTTGCCATGGATAGCAAGAAGCAAAGTGATACTCCATCAAAATTGATGAGAAAAAATTATCATACTCGTGAGGCTGCAAAGAGAGCAAAAGAAAGGCAACTCAAGATCAGAGAAGAACATGGTGATCTCTACCCTGGGATTAGTACGAAGTGCCCTATGGACATATCTTCTGATGAGGATGAGTACCCATCTCTAGAAGGATTCATCACTGAGGATTCTCCACCTCCTCAAGAGAAGGCACCAAGTCCTATCGGCCTGGAAGAAAGCCCCAAAAGTGATGGTTTCCCACGAAAGGAAGATTTTGCCAATCCTCTCTATGATAGGGATTACTTGAAATTTCTTGAGACCTACCGTGATAGTGAAGTGGTGTATGATGAAGATTCTGATGAAGATGGACAGAAGGAGAAAATGAACCATCAAAGTCAGACAAAAGCATGAATCGACCTATCAAGGACTATCTTGCTTTCTACTACTTCAAAAATTCTCTGAAAAAGGCTGGAGAAGATGAGTATTCTGACTCAGACACCAAAGCCACAACGAGGTCACAACGCACGTTGTGACATGCATTGTGACACTGGCCAAAAGATCAACGAAACAGGGGAGAATCACAACGCCACGTTGTGATCCACGTTGCGAAGCAGAAGAAAAAGAGGAATTTCCAGAAAGTTCAACGTGCGTAGCAACGCACGATGTAACCTGCGTTGTGATGAAGGCCGAAGGTTCAATGCACCCTCCAATGCAGCAGCAACACACGTGGTAACGAGGAAGAAAAGAGGAAAATTTAAGTAAGTTCAACGTGACTCACAATGCACGTTGTGAACCTCGTTGTGAAATAATTTGAGAGCCCAACGCAAATCGCAACGCACGTTGCTACGTGCATTGCGACTTCAAGATTCAGGAGTCCGCGATTTAAACCCTACCTAAACCATCATTCTCCCATTCTATTCTCTCAACTCACACAAGAAACCTCTCCAAATACAAGGTATCCTCTCTTTTGCTATTTCTTCCATCTTTAAGAGCTTACAAGGATCAATCTTTGTAGGAATCTCCATCCAAGAGGTAAAAGCTAAGCTTCAACTCTTAATCTCCATTTATGTGTTCTCTAAGCTTTTCTCTCTCTTTAATGTCATGAATGCTAGTCTACATTTTGATGAGTATATTGTTGATTGAATTTGATGAATGTTGGCTAGTTTTGCATTTAGGACCATTATATAGAGTGAAAATTGCCTTCCTTGCTTAGAAATTCTTGCATGAACCCTAAGTTTCTCTAATGAAACGAGTTTGTTATACCGAATGAGGGTACTTATACTTCCTTAGTAAGAACACTCTCCAAAGATATCTTTGATTGTAGATGGTAGGACGATATGTGAAGAAAGCAATCTTAAAGATCCGGTACATACCTTTCAAAACAGATCCGCTGATTTCCTTTCCAAAAAAGTCTTCTCAAACCGCGTTCAGCATTTTGGAAACATCTTCCTTTATCATATCTTCAGTGTCAGTGCGTCTGTTGATGAACCTGATCAATCAGTCTTCTGTAATAACAAACAGACACCAAGCTAAACCCTATCTTAGTTTGCCATAATAATATTGCGAATTATATGTTGGGGTTTTTTGGAGAAAATAAAAACAATAACAAACTCCCCCTTTGGCTATTATTTGGCAAAATAACTCGACTAAGATAAACAATAAGCTAGGGAGAAAAAGGAAGATAACTGTCGCATAAAGGACATAAGTCTGAAATACAATCCTTAAACAAAAAATAGCACACAAGTCATGCTGGACAAAAACAAGTAGTAACATTCTTCACAAATCATGAGGCCATCACATACACACGCCCAGACAGGGCCAAAAGATACGAAGTCCAACAAAAACCCACAAAAACTCCCCCTGAGTTTAGGCACTCCCCCTTTTTGCCAAAGATAGATAAAGGAACATTTAAGAATTCGAGGGACCTTCACTGTCAGACTTCACATTCTCAGCAGCATAAGACTCAGTCAAGCTCAGACGAAGCAAAACAGTCGCAAGATCAGTACGGGCTGCAGTGAGTTGCTTCGCAATAATGCCATTAACAGTTTCAAGCTCAGACACCCGAGCCTTCAGACGGAGAGATAGTTGAACATCCTTTGCATGTGACGAGTCGTCAGTAGGAGTGCCAGCATCAGATGATGGAGGAGCATTAACAGGTGTAACATCTCGGATGTGCTTGCCATTCAAGAGGCGTGGATCAACAGTATAAAGCAGAGTTGGACTGATAATCTCACTTGGCATTGGTACTAGGCCCTGCGTCGTCAGAACTCCAAATATGAGATTAGGATAAGGCAATCTTACCTTCTGCTCCCTCTGATGAATCAATGTGAGGAAATGATAGAAGATCCACTTCCCCAGATCAATGGACATTTTGGTGCCAATACGGAATAGGAGAGCAGCCAGTTGCTTGCCAACTGTATGAAAATGGGCAGAAGGTAGCCAATTGTGGAGGGCAATCGGTGCAGAATAACATATTTGGAGGTTAGCTTCGAGCTAGACAGAGTGTCAATATCACCTGTAGGCCATACAAGAGTTTAACCGCCAGTGAGAGTCCTTGCAACCAAATCCCAATCCGTAATCTCTTCTTCATCAACACCCTTCAACCCATAGTATTCATTAATCACGTCTGGACCGAAAACATACCACTTTCCTCTGATGAAAATCGGCATGCACCGGGTCCCCGTAAGATTGTCAATTTCTTCATTCAGATTGCAGTAGAACTCGTAGGTCAGCAGCTTTGAGTAGGGGCAAATGGAGGTGACAGTCTTCATGAGGCTAACCTCACTCAGCAAGGGTGAAATGTCACATACAGAGTTCAATTGATTCTCATAACCGATCGCTGAACTATAAGCTCTCATCTAACCATCGTAGACCACTTTCCTTGAGCTGTAGCAGAAATAAACCGAGGTTTGTAAATTGTTGTGTCAGGATTGTCCGAAGCAGCTTGGACATCAGGAGTGACACTCCTTCCTCGCGACCTTCTAGTGAGTTTCATCTTTCTGGTAGAAGAGGTGGAAACCGTAGCAGGAGCCTTGTTCTTGATAGACAATCTCAGAGTTTTGAACACATGTTGGACAGGTGGATCACTTTCCGCCTTTACTGATTCAGCAGACCGTTGTCTTTTCTCAGGTTGAACCGTATCAATATTATCACCACCGGTTTCAACCGTTACTCTCTCAGGGACTCCTTTGCGTTTAGATTTTCTTGTCTCTCTGGATGGTGAATGATCAGTTGGGCTTGGTGAGACCGAGTGGCTTGTTTCTGACACTGGGGCAGTTGAAGAGCCAAGAAGTTTGGAGACTTCTCGAATTTTGAAAGTAGTCGAGTCTGGATGTGCTGTCGCTTCCACTGTAAGAGGTCTAGACAACTGGGCTTGTGGACCATAAACTTCAGTCAGTATTCTCTCATCATCACTGTCTATCTGCACAGAGGGATCATCAGGATGAATAACTCTATATGGTTCCGGTACAGAAGTAGAAGGCAAACCTGCAAAATGTCGAATGTGGTCAAGGCTCTCAGCCAAGGTAGAGGATTTATAAACTGGAAATCCATCAATCGGGTCAGAGGGACGAGGACTTAAATGTCTGGCAGCCTCAATTTCAGAAGGCAACTTAGGAGAAACAGCAACCGGGCAAACCTCAACCGGTGACTCAGTAGCATCAGATAAAGGCACAACAGGAATTGCAGATCTCGCAATATCAGCAGAGTACACAACCAGACTTAAATTTTCTACCTTATCAGATTGGTTAACTTTTTCTTCAGAATCACTGTTAAGGGCAACTTTTGAAGGCTCAATTTTTTCAGAAGATAAACGAAGAGGATCATCAGACACAGAGGATTTCATAGACAGTAAAGCATTCTCATTATCAGATTGTGCAACAGGCAGAGCAGATTCAATATCGTTAGAAATTAAATCATCGGGCTTATCAGGAGAAATCTCAATAGGGGTTTCAGAAGAAGTATTAGACATGTTACGAAGAATCTCGATACGATGTTTGGCCTCTTCCTGTGCAGCTTGAAGATAGAGAGGTTGAGCTGCTATCCGTCGTCGCGAGACTTTTTCGGATTCCAGTGCCCTTTGGGCGAAATATTGGAGGAAAGCCCCAGCACGGTTTCCATCTTCAGGCTCAGGAATGGACGCAGGGCTAACATCATCACTTGCTTCGGAGGCCAACACCAAAAGATCACTCGTATCATCGTCGGACCAGTCCGCATAGAACTCCGGGTAGCCTGAGAGCACTATGACTATGATTTCGTCGCGGAGAACAGAGTCAAGCTTTAACTTCTTTTTCATAGCAAGTTGGAGAAGAGTCTTTACATGCTTCATGGCTGTTTCTGGTGAATGGATTTTCCTTCCCAGCTTGATGATAATATTTCTCATTGCGTCCGCCATTGTTTTGCGATTTGGGAAAACAGAGAGAAACCCTAGGTGTAGAATCAGTAAGCAAATAACAGAGAGATAAGTAGTATTTAGAACTCTTCCTCCAAAGTAAAAGAAACCCGATCAAATATATAATCCCAAGGGTGTTGAACACTATTTAATGCGGTTATCATAATGCATGCAGCTGATGTGATTGACGCAACGGTATAGCTCCTTTTTAAGGATAAAACGGATGATTTGAATTTTGAAAGATGCAAATTAATTTTGGTAACCAAAGTTAAGATAATATCTTAACATAAACAGAAGAGAGATTAAAAAGGAAGTCAAATATGTAATTTTGACCCGTGATTGAAACCACCATACACTCTCCTTCTGTGTCATCATCCTGCCTTATTGATCAATCCTGCAGATTCCTAGAGCAGATCTGAGAATCTCAAACCGATTTGCGTCCAGAGGCTTAGTCAGTATGTCAGCCAATTGCTTATCTGTTTGAATATATTCCAATTCTATCTCAGTTGATTCTACCAAGTCTCTGATATAGTGATGCCTTATATGAATATGCTTCGTTCTGGAGTGTTGAACTGGGTTCTTTGAAATATTTATTGCACTGACATTGTCACAGTAGAGTGTCATAGTCCTTTGTGTGAGACCATAATCTAGAAACATTTGCTTCATCCAGACCAACTGAGTGCAACATCCTCCAGCTGCTATATATTCTGCCTCTGCAGTACTTAGAGAGATTGAATTTTGCTTCTTGCTTAGCCATGAGACTAAATTCTTTTCAACAAAGAAGCATCCACCTGATGTACTCTTTCTGTCATCAATATTTCCTGCCCAATCAGCATCAGAATATGCACTCAGGCTGAGTTCACTGTCTTTGGAATACCATAACCCATACTGAATTGTGCCATTGATGTATTTCAAGATCCGTTTAGCAGCTATCAAATGTGACTCTTTGGGATCAGATTGATATCTTGCACACATCCCAACACTGAACATAATATCTGGTCGACTTGCGGTCAAATATAGCAGACTTCCAATTAGGCTTCGATATACTGTGTTATCAACTGATGCACCTGTATCATCTTTTGACACCTTTGTGGAAGTGGAGGAGTTCTGGGAGTTTTACATGACTCTAGATCGAACTTTTTGACCAAATTCTTGACATATTTTTCTTGTGAGATAAAATAGCCTTCAGTACTCTGTTTAACTTGAAGTCCTAAGAAATAAGTTAGTTGACCCACCATGGACATTTCAAATTCTTCCTTCATAACCTTCACTAAGTCATCAGTATATTTCTGTAGAGTAGATCCGAAGACAATATCATCTATGTAAATCTGAGCTATAGTAACATGACTTCCAGTGGTTTTAACAAACAAGGTCTTATCAACACTCCCTCGGTTATACCCATGATGTAACAGATACTGTGTCAGACATTCGTACCATGCCCTTGGAGCTTGTTTAAGCCCATAAAGAGCTTTTCTGAGCTTGTAGACATGCGTCGGATGAACTGGATCTTCAAAACCTTTAGGTTGTGCAACATAGATATCTTCATGCAGATACCCATTCAAGAACGCTGTCTTAACATCCATCTGGAACAGTGTGAATCCCAGAATACAAGCGACTGCCAACAAAATTCTGATTGACTCTAGTCTTGCAACAGGGGCAAACGTTTCATCATAGTCAATTCCCTCTATTTGTGTATATCCTTGAGCAACCAACCGAGCTTTGTTTCTTGCAATATTTCCAGCTTCATCAGTTTTATGTTTGAAGATCCACTTTGTTCCGATTATGTTAACACGGTCAGGCCTTGGTACCAGATCCCACACATGATTGCGGTCAAACTGATGTAGCTCCTCCTCCATAGCCTTAATCCATAGATCATCCTGCAAGGCTTCATTCACATTTTTTGGTTCTATTTTTGAGGTGTAGCAGGCAAATCCAGATATTTCTATCAGATTGCTCCTCATTCGACTTCTGGTGTTCATTCCATCTGATGGATTACTAATTATGTTGTCTGGTGGATGATTTTTTTGTGTTCTGGTGGGCTTATTCTTACCATCACCATCCGAGAGAAAGTTCTCCTGTTCTGGGCTTTCTTTATCTTCTTCTGATGAATCATGTGTGTCAGGCAGTTTGGTTTTTTCAGCTGTTTCTAACGGCTCACTGATAGGAAGGTCTGTCTCTGGATCAATCACCGATGTTTCATCTGATTCTCCTGGGTTATCATCGATAACAACATTCACTGATTCCATGACTGATTGAGTTCGTTTGTTGTAAACTCTATAAGCTCGATTGTTTGGAAAGTATCCAAGAAAGATGCCCTCATCACTCTTGGGTTCAAACTTTCCCCTTTGTTCCCTATCAATTAGAACATAGCATCTTGTGCCAAACACATGGAAGTACTTCAGATTTGGCTTCTTCCCTTTCCATATCTCATATGGTGGCTTAGTCGTACCTGGTCTGAAATAGACTCTATTCACTGTATGACATGCTGTGTGCACTGCTTCAGCTCAGAAACGCTGCGGTAGATGCGATGCGTGTAACATCACTCTGGCCATTTCCTGCAAGGTCCGGTTATTTCTTTCCACCACACCATTCTGTTGTGCTGTTCTGGGAGCCGAGAACTCATGAGCTATTCCATTTTCAGAGCAGAAATCTGAGTATAAGGAATTTTCAAACTCTTTCCCATGATCACTTCTCAGTCTTTGAATTTTTATGATGGGCTTGTCCTTTTCTTTTTGTACTCTTATGCATAGAGTCTTGAAAGCATTGAATGCCTCAGATTTTTCTCTCAGAAAGTATACCCAGCTGAACCGAGAGAATTCATCTACACAAACAAAGATGTATTTCTTCCCGCCAATGCTTTCAGTCTGAGTTGGTCCCATGAGGTCTATATGGACCAGTTCTAGACATCTCTCAGTAGTGATCACTTTTACTGCTTTGTGAGGAGCCCTTATTTTCTTTCCAATGGCACATGTACCACAAACTCCTTCCTATTCTATTTTGAACTTAGGTATCCCACAAACAACATCTAATTTGATCATTTTATCCATATCTCTAAAGTTTATGTGACCCAATCGTCGATGCCACAGTTTTGATTCGTCTGTTTTAGATATTAGACATGTTGTTTCATTAGTCATAACATAACAATTGTCATAGGATCGTGTTCCTTACATTACCACTTGGTCTACTTTATCACGGACTCTGCAGCAATCACGATTGAAGCACACATTCCAATTTTGATCACACAGCTGACTGATGCTAATAAGATTTGCCTTCAGACCACTGACTAGGAGAACTTCGTCCAGATGAGGCAATCCTGGTACATTTAGAATACCTTTTCCAACTATCTTTCCTTTTTGTCCGTCTCCATATGTTACTGACCCACTGCTAGGTTGAACAGCCATGAGACACTTGACATTCCCAGTCATATGTCTGGAACACCCACTATCAAAGTACCATCTTGCTTCAGTC